AGAATTGTTAAGACCTTTTTGACATAGACATCTAAGCTATATCTATGCGTCTTTGAATGTTTGCTTAAAAATGATAAAATTGACTTGCTACAGTAGTTCATGTACGTTTGAGGTTGACTGAGTCTAACATATTACAAGTCAAGATTCATAATTTAAGTCAAAACATTTCACAAAGTTAAATTATTTCTTTGTTTTTACAAAGATGTTTTTCTGACCCTGACCTCGTCTATTCCATCAGGCTCTCATCATCAAGCAGAAAGAGCACAAAGGGCAAAGGTCAATACAGCTGTTTTATAGATTTCCCAACACTCTGCATTATTGAACAAAAGAACAGTCTTTTTAACCACCACAGTTTTTTGTTTTTTTTCCCTTTTTCATTTATTTTTATGCTCTTTTTGGGAAGGTTTCAATTAGTCTACACACTACTACTACACTAGAGCTGAACTGGACTAGTTTGAGAGTGCCCACTATTACTGTATTTTACTGACTATAAGTCGCTCCAGAGTATAATTTGCACCAGCCAAAAAATTTATTTTATAAAATCAGAGACCAGGAACCAACATTTAATCTTGAAAGTCAAGTTCTACTAATAACAATAGAACAGAGAACAACAGACTGTTAACGTCACATATGAACAGTTCTTCAGATTAAACTATAACATAAACAACAGAACAGAACAAGTTTACCAAACTCTCCATCTCACTCCAAATCACTAAATTGAATTCTTCATCCTCGGTGTCACTTCTCGGCAACTCGGTGACCTCCAGAGTTAAACCATAGATCCATGATGTAAACAGAGTGCCCTTTCCTCTTCTGTGTAGCTGTCGTCAGACTCAGCATCAGTTCCAGTTAGAATGATTCCGGCCTTTCTGAATCCCGACAGGATGGTTTGGGTTGTCACTGAAGTCCAGACTTTGTCGATCCATCCAATGACTTCCAGGAAAGTTACAAGGTGCATCCTCCCAGTTACCGCGAAGCTTTGTTCTCCATCCCCGCTTTCCGTCAGTCTCTCACCAGTGTCTTGCTCACTCCAAACTTTCCTTCTGCTGCTCGATTACCGCTTTCGGACGAATATTTCACTACTTGTAGCAGGACAGCGGCTCTTTGTGCAGGAGACATGTGCAGTAGAGTGAAGTGACAGTGTTACAGGACTCAGGAGTAACAGGAGCAGCAGATACTGACACACAAGACTAGAGCCTCTCACAGCTGTCAGTGTGAACATTTTAATATATAAGTCACACCAGAGTATAAGTCCAAACCACGAAAAAGTCTGACTTATAGACCGAAAAATACGGTAATATAGACTCATTCCTTGTGACTTGTAACCATAGTAAATTGTAATGTAGACTAATAAAGCTGCACTAAGTAACTTTTCTCATGAAGGGTCTGTCACTTGCACATCTCCATGAAAACAAGCAGACCAAGTTAAAGATCAAATATGTGGAGAGTAAGAATGCATGTTTATCAAGATATTTCTTAAAGAATAGGAATAATAACTCCTGTAATTGAATAAATGCAAGACAGGCAGTTTAAAGCTACACTATGGAACCTACCAAGCAAAGCAATAGCATTCTCCATGGCGTCTTTACCACCGGAAAAGTTACACTGCACAACTTTTTGTTTGTTTGTTTGTTTTCTCACTGGTTCATCTGCCTTTGTATTCTACCGGTTGTATTTTTAACATCAGCATAAGTCACATCTAGTCAGACCAGTTTTTACTCACATCCCGCCTGCTTCATTATACATGCGTCTGTGTGTTTGACCACGCACTCATTTACAAAGATGAATTGTGTGTCAGACTGCCCCAGCTCCACAGAATAAATATTTGACTTTACAGAGGTATGCGCACACTGTTAAATCCACTCTTTGGTTTTTGTCTGCAATCCAGGGACCATTTTTAGAGCCATAACAGTATCAAAACGGCGCCAAATCACATACATTTCTGATAAATTCTATGGTGTTTGGAAAATTGCTGCCTGCTCTTTTCGTGTTATTACAGAAGATTACCAGGGATTTACACCTCTACAGACTAAACACGACTGAAAACACGTCTGCTATTGTCTTAAATAATGCTTTTAGAGTGACACTTTTTAAAGATACATTAAAGAAAACAGAGACGTAAAAAAATAAGACACAGACTCGACGGAGATGTGCTAAATCAAATGTACTGGCGCCATCTGGTGGTTGTACAAAACATAGCGTAAACTTTATTGAACTCTAGGTAAACTGTCTCAAAATATATATATTTTTCTGTATTTTCTGTATGTATTGGATATAAATATGTTGTATGTAAACAATTAGCATTAACTGTTCCTAGGACCATTGTGTGAAGGGATAAACTAAGCTAATAGCTAATAGATAAAAATAACGTGATCAAGTGAGAAAAACATGTTCCAATTTAACTTATTAATAAATTAGTTAAAATTTAAGCAAAAATAAATTTAACTAATTTTGTCAACTTCTTATTATTTTTAAAATTTGTTTAAAATGAAATTGTAGAAATAATTTCTATCAGGCATATTATTGGTCGCCTATTTTTTCTGAAAACAATCACAAAGATCAAATAAAATGCATTTTAAATTGAATATTACGCATAGACTATTATTAGGAATATTAACTCTAAAAAAAAAAAAGACATTTATTTTAGATTTTACCGAGCCTCACTTGGTCTTTAAACAACACCGCTTTTAATTCAACACTAGAGGGCGCCTTCAGATCACGCTAAAATCTCATAGCGCTCAGCCTCCCACCTGCAAATTAACTACAATATTGAACATTAAATATCACGTTTTGAACACATTTTATTGAATTCAGATACAAGTTTGTTCTCTGAAATTAGAGCTTCAAATATTCCACACAATTTTCCAATGTAAAGCTCACATGACCAACGTGAACTACAGACTGACATTTTAACTAGTCACATCTTGTCATAATGTGAATGAATATGCAAATACTGTTGCTGATCTCATATTTGTACAAGTCTATGTAGAAGCTTCTAACTAAATGTAACTGTTAGACTTTAAGGTTAGAGCTATAGAGGTGTAGAGCGTATTTACATTTACGGTAAAAGTACTGTTACTTCATAAAATACTGGAGCAGAGAAAAAACTGTTGAGTAAAGAAAGCATTAAACTTTCTCTAATACATTTCTAATACAATTTCTGGATGCACATTTAGCTGAAACAAAAGTGCTGATGTTAGATTAGCCTATTAGATTAGATAATATACTCTAATCAATCAAAATATTTCTTTCAGTGATCCACACCATACACAATTTGCATCAATAATACATTATATTTTATGTGTAACATAATATAAAATAACCAGATATGTGCAGCCTCATTTAGTATAAAGTAACAGCCCTATATTAATAACAATAATTAGGTTCAGCACCATTTTGAACACTTAATGATGTGTTATATTGCATTATTAATTTACTACACACATGGGCTAAGCTACTATTAAGATCTAATTGCTCTGGTCCAAATGGAAATTGATCCAGAAACTTTAACCACTGAGTCAAAACTGTCCCACTGTGGTACTTGGTATTCCCAGTGGTCTGCCATCCAGGTCCTAACCAGGCTCATCCGTACTTAACTTCTGAGACCAGTAAGTATATTCTCACTTTTGCAATCTAGTATTATTACTAGAGGAGCTGGTACACCTCCATTAATTTCACAATTTCTACTTTTACTGTCCACCATTTTGTGATGTAATGTGAAGTAATGTCCTGCAATGCTATTTCTAGAATGGACCAAGAACAGCTATTACTATGAGCTTTCGGTGTTGACCTATATAACTTTTTAATCAAAATCAAGTCATACTCATTTACACATTGACAATATTTACTTGATAAACTGAATAACAACTTAATGGGCCTGTATCAGATTTTTCTCCATGTAATTGACAAAAATGCCTAACTTGGACTCGAGTCATAGCCTGATTCATCAGCCGGTTTCACTTCATAGAAACCGTCTGACCTCACAGCATTAGGATTCATTTGCTCGACGGTAGGTTGGTACTTTTTTTATTTAACCAATCGCTGCTATTTGGTCATGACGTATGTAATGCGCCACTAACGGAGCTAACTGGTATATTAAGCTTTTCCCAAATCCCGTAGGAAGAAGGACTATAACGTCTTTCTCCTTGATAAAATTCACCAAACATTCTCTTTGTTTCATCTTTAAATCCTCAATCTTGGGAACTGTTGCCAACACAGAATGTATGTCTCTTCACTGATTGGCTGGTGCCCGGACTCGTACTTTCGGGGTTTTTTACGAACCGTCTAGTGTATTCCGATTCCTGACCTAGTCGCTGGAGAGAAATTAAATTGAGCGGAGGCACTAGGTGGCACCAGCCTGGCTACTCGAGTCAGACTTGAGTCACTATTTTAAGGACTTGAGACTTGATTTGATAAAATGGACTAAGACTTGGGACTCAACTTGGACTTGAAGGTCAGTGACTTGGGATTTGACTTGGACTTGAGGCCTGTGACTTGAGAAGCACTTTTAAATCTGAATTCTTTCTGTTCTGACCGTAATGATTCACTCTAAGATCTTGTCAAGACATTTCTGCAACTCTGATATACTCTATAAATACTCATATATAAATATACTATGACACTTGAGACGTACTTGAGACTTGCAAAACGACAACTTGGTCCCACCTCTGATGTCTTGCCTCAGTATAGACTCTATATGAGCAGCTCCTGAGGTCAAAATGTGTGTGTTATCATCCTAGTTGTTGTGAGCTTTACTATCTGAAAGTCTGAATGTTAAGAAAAGAGAACTGTTTAAAAATGAACTACTTCTGTTTCCCTTTGTTTCTCAGACAAAGTTCAAATTGGGTACGGCACCTTCAAGTTGCATGAATGTCACAAATGTATTAAAATGTGAAATATTTTATCATTCCAAAAGGAGATTTGCATATTTTGGACACATTACCATAACAAACACCAAAGCTATAGGGCCTATGTAAATATTAAAAACACCAAAGGCAATGTTAAAGATTACCAGCTTTTATTTATGGAAAAATAGAGCTGTTATTTCAAAAGGAGGAAAGTGAAGGTGAATATATTAATATACTGTAAAACCAGAAGATAGAAAAGGAAGTACTTGGCATAGCGCTACAGCCAAAATGAAAAAAATGAAAATAAAAAACGTAGCTTCAGTTGCAGTCCAGTCATTGGGACACTTCAGTTCATTTTATAGTTCATTTTGGTCATCTTTTCCCAGAATTCCCACCAAGTACCATGAAATTTTACACATTTTTCCATTTTTCCAGATTCGATCAAAGTCCAACATACCCACTTGGTTAAACACAATTCTTTTCAAATAGTTTGGCCACAAATGTGCTATTTAGTGTTACAAAAGCCATGGCATTCCTCACTGCCTCGTGCGCCGGTACCGCAAGGTCAAATAGCAGATAACATAGTAGACTGTATTATTCATTCACATTGTAAGCTTTATAAACGGTCATAAAAATGTATAAGGTTTTCTATGGTATGTACAAAGTATATTAAAGAATGGCAGCAGCTGTCTACACAATCTCAACAATCATAAGAAAACATCGTAAATTTGGCCCATTACATCAAAATTTAAGACTGCGATTTCTATACATAAGTAGAAAAATAAACCCCAAATGTTAAAAATAAACTTCGCTACACATCCGTATTAATAAGTCGAAAGGAGTCTGTAGCGTTTGACGAAAATGTTAGCAGGAATCTTGTTTTTGTACACCACAATTACAAGCCTGATTCGTCTGACCTCACAGCATTAGGATTCGTTCGCTCGACGGTAGGTGGGTACTTTTTAAAAATTTAACCAGTCGCTGCTATTTGGTCGTGACGTATGTAATGCACCAAAACCTGAAGGAAGAAGGACAATAATGTCTTTCCCCTTGATAAAATTCACCAAACATTCTCTTTGTTCCGGCTTTAAATCCCCCAAACAGAATGTATGGCTCTTCTCTGATTGGCTGGTGCCCGAACTCGCACTTCTGGGGTTTTTGCGAACCGTCTAGTGTACTCTGATTCCTGACCTAGTAGCTAGAGAGAAATGAAACTGAGCGGAGGCACTAGGTGGCGCCAGACTGACTACACAATTACAGCTTTTAAAGGGGCATTGTGTAACTTTTCTGGAGGGTTTGCCAAGTTATTTTCTCTGTGGAGATGTTTTTGCCTTGTCTGGAATGTTTCACAGTATTTAATGTTTCTGTCTTCATGGAGACTAAAGCTACGTTCAGACTGCAGGGCTTAATGCTCAATTCTGATTTTTTTTGTGAAATCCGATGTTTTTGCGAAGTCGTTCACATTTCCAATTAAATGCGACTTGTATGTGATCTCCAGTGTGAACATTAAACGGCCCGAAAGTGTCTCGCATGTGCACTGGAGACACGACGACGTCAACCGCAGTGCGCGTGCTCTGTGTTTACAGAAGTTGTCCAAACATGGATGCGAGCATTGAGCACCTGGAGATTTTAGAAGTTCCTCTCGTACCGGAGCCAGAACATGCAGAACTTACTACTTAAGGAGGAGATTGAGAAGGAGAAGGACGAGGTTTTTGGCCGTGGTGTTTTGTGGGGCAGTGGCAGCGACGTGAACGTGTGGATGTGGAGACGTAGCCAAGAGTGGTGAGTGGTGATGTGCTTCACTTCAGTGACATGGAGTTCATTAACAATTTTCACCTACTTCAGCACAGAATAGTGACTTCTGTGGCTTGTTGATAACGTGTAGGTCTGATGAATGCGCTTTGGCCGTTCAGACTGAAGTCGCATGTCAAAAGTATCGGTATGTATCGATATGTATCGGTTTCAGGACCACATATCCAAGTGTCCTGGGTCGCATTTGAAAAAATCAGATCTGTGTCGTTCAGACTGTCATTAAAAGATCAGATACAGGTCACAAAGGGGCCAAAAAATTTGATTTAGGTCACTTCAGGCTGCAGTCTGAACGTAGCCTAAACCAAAGCAAGTTAGAGGTCAGATGTGTGGATAGACAACCTTGCTCACAGTCAGAACGTGTTTTTCCAGATATTTTTGAGCACTAAAACCAGCTGTAATTTAATGAATGTAAAGTAGAGTTGTTTAATGTCATACTGTGGAACATTCCAGGCAAAGGAGCGGTATATCCATAGAAACCTTCAACCAAAAAGCCACACAGTGCACAAACTTTATCACAAACTGGAACAACCAGGCATCAATCGTTATAGCAACAAGTGGTGTAAACTGCTAATTATTGACTACCACGTGATAAAATGATCAGAGCTGTGTGCAAAACATCACAAGCGCACACCTGTCTTCTGCTTTTTTTGGAATCGTGCCAAAGTCCGTTAACGGTCAGAAATTGTTTACTGGAAAATTCTGCTTGATTTAACTATCCGTTGCGTTCACTTTTGATTGAGGGTTGTGTAAAAATATCCAAATACAATCCGCCCACTCCTTCCTTCCTTCCTGTCTTTGATGTTTTAATAATTTTTGAGCGACATATCTACCCGCAATATTTATTTTTCATGCTGCCGGTAGAGCCACTTCAAATCACATAACTTCACATAATGTCTTTTAACTCGCTCCAACTGATCCTAATGTTTGCAATGTGTTCCTTTTTTATTTCACATTTTTAGATTTTCAGCAAAAGTGAGTTGATTTTAAAGGTGCATTATGATTTTTTTCTGTTGGAGGCTTGCTACCTGCTTTCAGAGCTTTTCCAGGAATGTTCCACAGTATAGCATTAAAAGGTATCTATCTTGCATTTATTGAAATACAGGTTTATTGTTAAAAGAATACCTTAAAAACATGCATTTGTTTAGACTGTTTATATGATGATGGTCTGAACAGAAGACGCAAAAGTGGCGTCGCATTTTCACTTTTTATTCCGTGTTTAGACAATACGGTGACGAAAAGTGTGTGGAATTCAATTGGGTATGCATGCCAGGTTTCTGTTTACTGTACATGTGTGACGTAAACGCGTACGTGACATGAGCAGATCTGACCAGAGTTTTGCGTCTTGGGCAGTGTAGACGGAAACGCTACGGCTGAGCGCACTCAACTTTTCCACTCTAGAGGGTGGTTTCAGATTTTTGCGTTTTTAAGCCCAGAAACGCCGTCACCATCCATCTAAACGAAAGGCACTTCTGATAAAATATGTTGTCGTTTTTACCCGCAAGCGTTCTCATGTAAAGCAGTCGCCTCTAACCTGTAACTTGGCTTTGTAGCGTCACCAGGGAGAGGTTTAATGCCATACTGTGAAACATTCTAGGCAGCGCAATAACATTTCCAAGCAGACAAGCAGGTGACAGATCTCCCCCAGAAAGTTACATAGTCCATCTTTAAACATGTCAGCTAAAATACTTTGATAGTGATAGGAGTGTTTTTTTGTGTCAAGTAAGTGCCATGATTTAGCCATTATGCTGCAAACTGCAAACGTTTTCAGATACTGTACTACATTTTTACATATTTTCCCTTATAAAAATCAACATACTTTTGTGGCCAAAGGAGATATGATTTTCCAGTTCAAATGGCAACAATAAGTCCATAAACTGCATGTAGAAAATAAGGATTTCCACACTGCACGTCTTTTCAAATCTTAGTTTCACTTCCACTTCTCTGTAGTGTACAATGTGTCACTTTTTTTTTTTTTTTCTTTTTTTCACTTGACATATGACTTTTCAATCTCACCATCTCCATGTGGATTTCATGTGACAGTCCATCACAGTTCTTTAACCTTGTGGTCAAAAACCCTTTGCTTCAAATGATCGACTGTCATGGTAATATCCCAATGGCGTGTTCAAATATTGTCTCTCATGAGAAGGGCGCTTTTTAAATACAAGATCCATTTTATTATTAATTAAAAAGAGAATTCTCCAAAGAACTAGATCTCCCTTGCGAGTAAGGCTTAAACAGATTATTACTGATGTCAAGATACGAATTCAAGAAGCAAGTATGACCTTTTTAAAGTCTTTCGAGGCCGGCAGATACTTCACAATGTCAAGTCTTTGTGCCTAATACATGTCCATTTAAATGTTTAGCTTACACACGGATTTCATCATCGTCGTCTTCATCCATAAAGGTGAAATCCCCATCTTCTCCGTGGCGTGGCGAGCTGTACTTGGCGCTATCCGTGTCTTCGTGGATATACTGGCGTTTGTCATTACCGACCGATTCGGCGCTAGAAACCGAGTAGCTGTCGTCGTGGTTGTTTATGTTGTTTCGGGTTTGGATCGCGAAGTTGTCAATACTTCTCGGAGGCCTGACCGGCACCTTCACCTCTGCATCGTCATCGTCGATATGCGGGATGTAAGACGGCGAAGCTCTACCGTCGCTGACTTTGTCTTCCTCGAATCCCAAATCGTCTTCTTCCCACTCTTTTTTCTCCATGACTCCCAAGATATCGTCAAGCATGGAAGGCCCCAAGTCGATGTGGAACGACATCATGGACTCCGCGTGCTTCATCGCGGTTGACTTAGGCTTGGACGGCGGTAGATCTGTTAGCTCGCCGAAATTACGCTCTTCGAATTCTGTGTCTAGCGTTGCCATGGCAGCCGCTCCATTCGCCGGTTTTGTTTCAATTTCTGATACATTCTTCATCGGGCTGGACGAGACGCTTTTCGGCATACGGTTAGCGCCATTGCTGCTCGCTTCTTCGTTAAGATAAGGCAGGGAGATGGCGTTTTTGACATAGGGCGCTGATCCGCTATTGGGTGCCGTCACGTTATCCGTGCGGTTTACGGATTGGGAACGTTTGCTGCTTCGGAAAGTACGCGATAGTAGACTTGGTTTGGATCCAGGAGAACTTTGCTTGGTCTCGTGCTCCCTCGGCGGCTCCCCTGACCGCGTACTGAGGAAAGACGTGTCCCCGAACGCGTCTCCGCCCCGGCCCACATGCATCGTGTGGCGAAAATCTCCCAGAGGAGCACTAATCATCTCTGCGGTCAGATCGACACGAGACCGCCTCTTGGACTGGTGGGAGTTGGACACCAGCTGTTTGAGGATTGGCATGATGGCAGTCTTTTCACAGGGAAAACCCACAGGAAAAAGGGAAGGAAGGAGATGGAAAGAGAGTCCGGTTTTGAATATCTGTGAGTTAGAGTCGTCAGAACAAGCAGAATCCCAGCAGGTCACGGTGTATATCCATTATGGTCCACGATGTTGAAGTCACAAGATGAGATCTGTAAAAGAGAAGAGAACAATATTAGAAACTAGGGATGGGCATTCGATAAAATTTTCTTAATCGATCTTCGAGAGAATTAACAATCAATTATCGATTAATCATTAACGTTTTTATATAAAAATTATCATCATTATTATTATTATCTGCACTACTAATCTGCATAAATAATTTTAATTTAACCACTCTAGAGCCACATTAGCCCGTTTAAGATTATAATGTGTTTAATGCAGCTTTGCACAAGTCTCACAGAAACAAAACTTAAAACTGCATGGTTAATTTGCATAAACTAAGCGAAGAAAAAACAACAGCTCTTGTTCGCTGATGTGGCACGACTCAGTGGAATACAGGTTAGTGTGACCATATTTGCGTTTGTCAAAACCAGGACACCATACGGGGGGTTGGGAGGTGGGGCCTCATCATCCACATTGCGTGACTCTCACCTGGCAAAACTTTTTCATGTTTTCGGTGTCCTGGTGAACTTTTTCCCACTGGACACCGAAACATATGTGCTGCTTTGTACATTGTGCACATGGACGTGGAATTTTTTTGTACAAGTCATCGTTAAATACACATTTGCGCTTCAGCACGTTGCAGACTGACCCACTGTTTGTGTCTCGCTCCTTCTGAGTGCAGAGAGCGACATGTACAGACCCCTGTTTGGTCACACTCACCCTACACTACCCACAGCAACCTACATTCGGTTTGTCGATTAAAATGAATGTAATCGATGAAATTCTTAATGATCAATTATCAATTAATCGACTAATCATGCCCATCCCTATACCGAATGCTCATACAAAATTATTTTAATGCAATGTTATGTTCATTTTGCAGTTAAATATGGCATATCTTGCAACTCAATTAAGTCCCACTATCTCAAGCTTATAATATAAACTGCACATCTGCATTTTGTGTGTGTATTGTACAATCCTACAGATATTCATGGGTTGTTTGTCACATAACTTTTTTCCTCAATACCATTTTGAGGACTTCCATTTTGAGGATGATTAATTGCTACAGTCATGACAAGGGGTGTGCTAAAATATCGAAATATTGATATATCATGATACTAAATTTAGTGATACAGTATCGTTATCATGGTCTGCTGTATCGATATACCAACAAGAGTATTTTTTTTGTACATTAACTAAATTATTTTGTGACCACGTTGATGTTTGTTCAGAGAAATATTCACAGTTTTGATGGTCACACTTCCATTTTCTAGTTTATTCCATACTGGCTTTGTACATGAAGTGGTTCAACAAATAAATACTGTTAAAATGGTTCTTAAAAATAGTAATATAATGCAAAATGTTATGTACAATATTTTGATTATTGTATGTATCGCCATATAGTAATCATAATATCATACTGTGAGCCATGTATTGAGTATCGTATCAAATCCTGAGGGACGTAGTAATGAGACAAAAAATTGTGAAATCCTTAAAAGTCCTCATTTTCGTTATAATAATATAACAGACCAGAACGTTTCACTTCATAAAGTTCAAGTTATGTATGGTATTTGTTTTATTCATAAAATTGTCAAGATTGTTTAGTTTTTCCAAAGAGAAATTAAGTTCTGTTCAATTTTGTTTTTTTTTCTTAACATATTTCTATTGACTAAAATGACTGGTGTCGACAGGCTAATCCATCTCCTTGTACACAGTATAATGGTCTAGACTTGATCCTTCAAACTTCTTTCAGGCTTGTTTCAGTCTGTTGCTGTGGGCCTATTGAAAAAACACACTGCTTAGAAATTAATTACGAACAAAACATAAATGGACACTCCAGATGCTTTTACGTATTCACATCTCTTCACTTCACACTGAGACGACTAAGACATAGAAATATTTGTCTAGCGTTGCCAATAAGCCCTACTTGAGCGTTTTCTCTTATTCAGTAGCCTGTGAGGGTGTTATATAATGGCAAAGAAAAGCTCTCTAGGCTAAAGTTCACAACACTTTGAAACCAGCCAGTAGAAACAGCCAGACTTTGTGGTTCCCCGTCTCATTCCTTTAATTTTTGGGGTCTCTCTTTAAAAACTTAAAAAGTGCATTATGTAACTTTTCGCTTGGGGTCCGTCACCTTCTTGTTTCTATGAATGTTCCACAATATTACATTAAACAGCTGTACATTGTATTTATTCAATTACAAGTAGTTTTATAGCTCAAAAATACCTAGAAACACAGACATTCCATATACCGTATTTTTTGGACTACAAGTCGCTCCAAAGTATTAGATTTAGGTTTTATAGATTTCCCAACACGCATTATTAAACAAAAGAACAGTCTTTTTAACCACCACAGGCTTTTTTTTTCCTTAATTTTTTTAATGCTCTTTTTGGGAAGGTTTCAATTAATCTAAACACTACTACTACTACACTCTCTAGTTTGAGCGTGCGCACAATTACCGTATTACCGCGGAATGTAGGCAAAAAATGCGTAATGAAGAAGAAAAAAACATATATAAGTCACACTTTTTGGGCGAAATTTATTTGATAGAATCAGAGACCAGGAACCGACATTTAATCTTGAAAGTGAAGTTCTAGTAATAATAGAACAGAGAACAACAGACTGTTAACGTCACATATGAACAGTTCTTCAGATTAAACTATAACATAAACAACAGAACAGAACAAGTTTACCAAACTTCCAAAATCTCACTCCAAATCACTAAATCCATTCAATTCTTCATCCTCGGTCTCACTTCTAAGCAACTTCATGACCTCCGGAGGTAAACCATAGATCCATGAGGTCCGCTTTCCACCAGTCCCTCACAAGTTTCTCTCTCACTTCAAACTTTCTTTCTGCTGCTCGATTACCATTTTCGGCTGAATATATATATATTTTTTAAAATTAGCAATTTATTCAGTTCTTTTTTTTTTTTGTCCACATAATTCACAGTATACATGCCCTATTTCTTTTTTCCCCCACACATAAAATCAAACTAAAAAAAAAAATTAACTAAATAATAATACAATAAATAACATAGTAGCAGTAATGATGAGGATGATACTTAATAATGAAGAGGATTATGTATGTATGTATATAAAACATACGTTTTCGGCTGAATATTTCAATACTTGCTGCAGGACAGAGGCAGACAGAGTGGTACAGGAGTAGCAGATACTGACATAAGCCAGTAAGTGAAAAATTTTAACATATAAGTCGCAGGAAACATCCAAACCACGAAAAAAGTGCAACTTATTGTCTGAAAAATACAGTATGAGCGAGGTCACCTTTCCACAGACCTGACCAGTAACTTGCCCCGGTTCGGCCCATGACGATAGAGAGGTTTCCACCGAGAAAAGCATTTGACGGACCCTCCACCAGAAAAGTTACACAATGCACCTTTAACATGTCGTTTCATTTTTCCAAGTGTTCAATCACTACTGTGTTTTATAATACATTTCTCTGACCTCCATGATGATAGAAAGGTTCAAAGCCACACTTCACATTCCAGACAAAGCAACGGCATCTCCACGGAGAAAAGCATGTGACAGACCCTCCACCAGAAAAGTTACACAATGCACCTTTAACATGTCGTTTCATTTTTCCAAGCGTGCTATCACTACTGTGCTTTATAATGCGTTCAGGCCCCTCACTGTTACATAACCAGCGAGACACAGGATACCAGCAGTCTGAGCAGTTCACGCTGGCAGCAATGAAAGAAAACGGGGAGAGGAAAAAATGTAGCGGGACAGCATTTGCAGCTCAAGAGAGTCCAGATCCTCGGCATTGTGTTGAAACCGCGCTATCACCGAGAGATAAGATTTCTGTTTGTTTTTTCAGCAAATATTTCAACATGTCCAGCTGAATATCACACACCACTCATCACAATTGTGTCTGTTTTGTTTAAAGAGACAGCGCCGGGTTTGGGAAATGTGGTTTCAATTGATAGTGTTCCCAAAGGTAGTGCAAAGTCAGCATAGAGGTGTTTTATATAAACCTGGGCAGAAGAATAAGATAAGAAAGTATACGGAATGTGCTGTCTTGTTGTCTGGGTTGGTACAATAAAAACAAGGTTAATAGCGATCATCTGGTGTTGATTTGAAAAGAATCTTTCTTTTAGACAAGCTGAGATATCTGACAACCTTGACTATGGTAACAATATGTTCAAACAGATTCATCACCTTTCCATTGCTTCTAGTTGGGTAATATGCTATTGACCAGCTAAGTTTTTGTTGACTGTAACTGTTCTGAAGAAGGAGTCACCGCTTGCTCGTCTCCGCAGGTGTTGCTTATTCTGAAATGTTGCACAGTATGGCATTAAACGAATACCAGCTCGAACGTCCCCCCTGGCTTGAAAGTCTCAGCTCGAACGTCCCATTCTCTCAGCTTGAACGTCCCCCTCCTCTCGTCGGGTGCTCCCTTCTCTTTGGCGAAACAGGGGTATGTGTTGTACCCAGGAGAGGGAGGACGTTCTCGCCGGCCTTTAGTCAGCTGCGTCATGCACTGTGATGTATTGAGTTAGAAAATCAGCTTCTATATCATAATAAAATGAAATGTGAATGCAGCGAGACCAAATGTTGAGTCTTGTTTATGTCATTTTACGATCTTCCCGAAGTGATATGCATTTTTTCAGTTTGTAATATCAATATAAGCCTCATTTGCCCGTAGAAGTTTACTGTGAAATTGTATTTTAAGTATATATATTTGTTTGTGTCCTATAGCATCTGTAACTGCTGATTTAGGACGAAAAGCTACAGAATATTTTCAAAAATTATTCAGAATCACTATTAGGAAGGTTTTAACTATGTACTTCAGTGAAATATGTAAGATCAAATCCTGAAATAGTTGTTGCACAGTTGAGACCACATCATTTTTTTGTATGTATGAACAAATGTGTTGAGATATATTTCAAACATTATTCTATCAACACAGACATTTACATGGACAGTCTGGTGTAATAATAGATTTGTTTTGGGTGTTTTGTGGAGTGGGTAAGATAGGTTTTTAGTGACAGGATAACTATGGCCATTGACCTGCACTAGTCTAG